TCATTTAACTCTTCCTCATAGTCCTCGAAATCATCATCATAATACACAAAGTCATCATCATAACCCAAAATAAGCCCGAGCAAGTAGTTGGATGCAAGTTAACTTACCTACTATTTCTAGAAAGTGCTAAAAACCGAGGGTTTTTGACACTCGAGCACTCAAAACGACCAGGCACCAGGAAGCGCGGAACCCTAGTAGTAGTAGTAGTAGTAGTAGTAGTAGTAGTAGGAGGAGTAGTAGTAGGAGTAGCAGTTGCAGTAGCAGTAGCAGTAGTAGTAGCAGTAGTAGTAGCAGTAGTAGTACAATAGTACCCAACAACAATAATAAGAATGATAACAATAAAACAATACTGGTAGGAACATTATTAACAATAATAACAGCAGGAATAGTAGTGCAATAATACTGGCAGCAAGCATAATAATCATAGTAACACTGATAATCATAATTGAATAGTATTCATGATTGTACTCAAAGCAAACATAGTAGTGGTACTACCAGAAGTACTCATCATGACAATAGTAATAATGCAGACTAACAATATTAATAACAACAACGACTTTGATAATCAACAATAGCAGCAGTACGTAACCTATTGTAGGTACCCTCTGCAGTCAGGGGTGCTTGAGCAAGGATCCTACCCATAGTCTCCATTGTAGTTCCTTTTTGGGGGTACCTTTTGAACATCCTTAATAGAAAATTGGTTAAACCAAAAAAAAAGGAACTACAATGGAGACTATCCCTGGGGCTCCAAATAGCCCAAAGTAGGCACGATTTATAGACTTTAGACCCCAAAGTAGGTACTATTTGCATACTTGGAGCCCCAGGGTATAGGTACTAGATGATGATCCCTGGTGGCGGATGTCAGGTCGTAGGGTTCAGGGTGACTACGAACGAACACCGGAGCCCGTAGGTCCTGCAACCTCTCTTCGGGTTTCGGGTTTAGGCTTCAGGGCCGGTTTGGGATTTAGGGTTCAGGGCCAGTTTGGGGTTTAGGGTTGTTTGGGGTTTAGAGTTTAGGGCATCGCGAAAGCGAGGACAACAAGTGATACATCCTCTTACTTCAATGAGACTAAAGCCCTCACAACCCCCAACTGCAACCTAGCGAGATCTGCAGTGGATCGAACGCCCTGTCATAGTCGACACGCTTCTCAACATTCTGGAGTAGACTGCGCTTATCTTTTGCCATCCATCAACTGCCCCATCTGACAGCAAGGGGGCAGATACCAGCGATGCCCTGATGTGACATCGGCTCCTGCGGGACAAAGAGAGGTCGACGATGGAGTTTGCATACGGCCAGGTGCTAGGGAAAGGTAGTTCCCTGGACCCACGAGTACGTGGAATTATGGCCTTCTATGGGTGTTGGGCCATGTAGGGTTTAAAGAGCGTCGGTGCAACTAACATGCCTGGATCCTGATCCACTCCAGTTCAAGGTGGCAGCTATCTCGAACCCCTCCGGAGCAACCGCCTCCGTCTTTGGGGTACTGTGTGAAAACAGCCGGGCCGAACGCGCCCTGGAAATCCACCAGCTGTACATCCCAAATTGAGTCGAGGGCTTGCGATATTAGATCATGTTGTCATAGCCTAAACCCTAAACCCTAAACCGGATCATGTTGTCATACCCTAAACCCTAAACCCTTAACCGGATCGTGTTGTCATAAGGCTCGCGCGCCAAGAAACAACTCTGCGCAGGTTTTGGGATCCCCTGGGAGTTTCGCAAGACGACAAGGGACACTTGAGTATACTTAAACCTGAATAGTATCTAGGATC